GATGCTGGATGTTTTCTCGGATTGAAGTGCCTGCAGCACAACCAGGTACCTGTTTTCTAATCACCTCGTTCGTAACACGCTGATGCAATCCAGCCAAGCTTCTGAGGCATCAGTGGTCGAAAACCTGAAGACGCCCCACATCATCTGTCCACAGAGGCCATTTCTTGCACCCATACAACAACACAGCCCTTACGGTAGCCTGGTAAGTACGACCCAGGTTCAGGTCACTCTTGCGTTCGCCTTAGGGGTTGGTCTTGTGCGCATTTTTAACTAGTTGGAATATCTTTTTGTGTGAGTCTTGAAATGACTGAAAAATCTCATCAGCAGGATCGACACATCATGGTAAAATGCCCCGCCTGAAGAAAGTTGAGCACAATCGCCACAAAACTGATTGCATGACTCACGCGCGATCCAGGCCACAGTAGCTTCGTGAGGCCCATATATTGGACCTTCACTTTGTCTGCTTCAGGCGTACGCGCATCACAGCCTTGTCTGGCTGTACTGCTTGAGAAACAATCTTGAGTTGAGTCTATCACATCAAGGCGAAGTTTGATGGGCATAGGAAGACCACAACCCTCAGGGACGTGGGTCGGTTAGGCATATTTCAAGTGAACACCGAAAGCATGAAATGAACGCCTTTCAACAGTTTATTTTTCCTATCCCAAAATCGATAAGCAACATGGTGAAATGGCAAAGGAAACGTACACCTCTCTTTCCATGGCCTGAATTTTCAACTGATTTGTAGTTCGGTAAAAAAATCCTAGGAAATGAGTAGTACAAGGAGAAATGAAAAAAAATGGTGGAATTCCACAAACCGAAAGTTAGGAAAAGTCAACGAAACCAGTTTTAATCGATCGAAGATAATTTTCTAAAAAAATAGAGTGAGTGTTTCGCAGTTCTAGTTGGAGACGGGCTTGTAGCGCCGTGTGCGCGCATGACCGACTAACACAGAGTGACAATCCAACATGGCTAATTTATTGAGTTGGGGAAAAAATTCGAAATCAGGGTGTTAGTTTGATCACGGACACAAGCCGTCAGGTGGTAGGTTGTCTTTACTAGAACCAGCGCTGTTTGAAATACCTCTTGCTTCAAGGAATGGTTCACCAATGGCTGGAGTCGGAGTGTTTTTGATTAAGCGCCCCAGTGTGCTGGAATCCTTGAATGCAGCAAAAATTCTATAGAACTGACTCTCTGAAAGAGGACTCAGCGTTTTTGAGCACTCTCGTCGGTGAGGTATCGTTTTATGTACCGGAACTTCTTCTCACCGCAAAATAAAGTTAAATGGAATCCGCAGTTATAGGATTTGAATGTTCACTCATTCGCCTAATCAGGCTGCGTAGTGGATTTTTCGTTTTTTAGGGGTCATCGACATCCTGTGTGTGACCTGTGGAAGTTAATCGGGTAAAAGCTTTCTCGTCCCTAGAGAGCTAAACCACGTGAGGCCATTAATCCATATCGAGATTTTGTCAACTGGTCCGTAGATGGGGTCTATATTCACATCGCAACTATCGTTTGTTTTTTAAAGTGCATGGTCACAAACATGAGTAAATGCAAGCGATGGATATGGAAGGGTTGCAGGAGAATATCAGATAAAAAGAGAGAGATGTTCCATTCGAAGTCGTGCCACCAACAGTTCCAGTTAGACTAAATCCCAACGAACTATCGTTTGTTTTTTAAAGTGCATGGTCACAAACATGAGTAAATGCAAGCGATGGATATGGAAGGGTTGCAGGAGAATATCAGATAAAAAGAGAGAGATGTCCCATTCGAAGTCGTGCCACCAACAGTTCCAGTTAGACTAGATGAATCCCAACGTATGTGAGGGTTTTGGTATGGAAACACCCGTGTAAAGACCAACAGCTGAAAAAAGGACAAACAATGCTGAATACTCTTTAAGCGCTAGCAAAGTCAAGACTCGCACATCAGGCACAAGGTGTCCGTCATACTGGGTTCCGTGTAAGACTCAATCGCGAGAATGTACACTCAGCGCCATGTACCACGCATAAAAGTGACGTAAGTAAGCAGAGAGCCCACAATGGCAAGCGAATACAAGCCACTGACTGTGACCTTGGGAAGTCCCAGTCCAATAACAGCCTTGGAGGATTGAGGAAAGCAGATCCCTCGATAAGAAATGATCATTGGTTGGTACACCAATCGACTGAAAGTAGGGCTGAGATTATGGAGGAAGAACATTCATCAGCACTATACTTCTGCTTCTTCTCATTCCACACTGTCACTCCACGCCCATCCGAGACTATACTGACGTCTACCACAGTTGCTCGGTGCTCCCGAACATTGATTAGGTCAGGTTTGATGAATGTGTTCTCAACTCCTCGAATATAGTGTATCCCAGGCGACGGAGAGGTTTCGCGAGTTCCCTTGCAACCCGATTATGACGAGTACATCTGGCATCATTCGTGCTCCAGCAGAACTGCAAAATATTCATCAAACTCTCCGGTTGGATGCAGTTTCCACAACAGATCGTCTGGCCACCATGACTAGACCGAACGCTTTTAACTGTCGTCCTAAGCAGGTTGCGTGGAAGCTGGATGCCACATATATATATCCGAGGAGACACTCGTTCTAGAAATACAAGCCATCGATGTGAAAGAGGCGAAGCGATCAGTTCTCGAAAGTTGTTGTTCAGACCACCACTCCAAGCAGTCACCAGCTATTCCTCGGTGTTTGTGCATGCGTCTTGGACTCGGATCTGAAGGATGAGATCCCGGACAATCTTGCAAAATGCGGAATCGTTGACGACATTGCGTAGTACTCAGCACTAGATAGACTGAAGCTTTTGAACAGCTTTCGTCCAATCCTGGCGCAATTCTTCTGGCGAGTCCACCCGAGGTAGGAGTAAGGTTCTGACCATTACTAGTGCCTACTTTGATAGCACCGGGATGAGAGCCCAGGAAATCTGAAATGCTAGGTGAACACGCTGGTACTATCTTACCAATAAACCCTGAAAGTACCTGAATAATCACGTTTGAACGTGTGTGATAAGTTTACCCAACGACTTAATCAACAAACCAGTAGCTGGCGAGGTTGACAGACTGACTCGCTTGTCGTTAAAGTTGCTCCCAACCAACCTGATTCGGAATGCATGTGTATAATATTTTGGGGCCTGCACACCAACTTTTAGCAGCAATTCCAAAGATCATGTGACCTGATCCAGGTACCCCCTCCCGACCACAGTACACGGGTCTGATACCATCAAATCTGTATGAACATTCAGATTATGTGGATTGACTTCAGCATGCACACGCTTTTCATCTTATGAACAGCCTGTCATCTACAAAAAGCTTTAGTAAGCTATCAAAAAGCAGCCTAATTCAAATCGGGCCGATCGATTAGTGCTTGGGAGAAGCGATCTCACAGTTTAACTTACCCGAAAAAGCCAAAAAGTCAGGAAGAACAAGGAGCATACCTAAAGGAACCATTCACGCCACTCATAGTTTGGGACACGATCCAACAACTTCAGAGACATCAAAGTCCACTCATTCGTTCTAGTAGAGGTGGAAAGTCTTCGGAGCTCTCATCATCCAATCCCCGTTGAAAGATTGTTTATCCAGTAAAAGACGAATGTACCGTTGGTGAACCAATAGATAACCTGCCTAGGATTGTAAGTCCCACCATACTATCGGATTCGCAAACTGTAAACTGGTTTTCCCCATCAGCTGCATTCATTTGAATTCCTGTAACAGATTTCGGCTTCTTACATGACATTCAGTGAGTATGTGTTCAGGGGAAATTTTGGGTTGATATCCACGGCAGCAGCCTTGTTAAAACTAGCGTGCTTTTGCACAACTTGTTCACGATAAACGGAGCTGGCACGCGAAACAGCAATAAATTAACCAGTTTATGATAACATCACAACAAGAGTAGCAGACACGTGATACTGCCTCGAAGTTTGCTCTTTCCCACTCCCTCTCTCTCTCTCAGCTGTGCGTCACTGCCATACCACCCGAAGGAAGCACGAGGATTGAGATACTGTCAGGTTTCTTAAGCCTAGAAAAGAGCATTTGAGATGCCAGGATTGGGCTCGAACCTTGGACCTTCCAGTAGGTGTCCTAGTGTCTCAACCAATGGGGTAACCCAAACTCATTGTCCTAATAAAACGCTTTGAAACAAAGTGCTCAGACTTACAGAAGTGGCATTGCTTTTTAGACACGTGGCAGTTTACTACTGACTTTTCGCGGATATCAGATCACCGGTACGCACTCACTTAGAAAGGTGACCAGACTCAATCTACCATTTTGATCTGGAAACTGTCCAGATAAGGCTATTTCTATCTTCGGTAACAGCATTGGAAAGACCGTTATCCAAGAGACCCACACACAGTGGGTTAGTTTTAACGTCAGATCCAAATGATCTAGCCGAATCTCTTTCTTATGACATTCTTCAACTGAATTCACTACACAGAAACTACATCATTTGCAAGTTGGTACAACATTCGAAATGTCGCAGCATATTTTCTTGATGGGACACACTACTTATAACGTTGCTGAAAACTTTTCTTCGGATTGGTGCTCAAGTAGAAGATGGAAGTGACAAAAAAACGGGAGATCGCGCCCAAGAAGGGGAAAACCAATCACTGACTGTCAATGAATATTCAACAGTCTAGTATTCCTCCAGGGAGATACTACCATTTTGTTTTCCGGTTTTGCCTTAAAAGTGCCTCAGCAAACTGCGGAAAAGGAACAGCGATGCATCCGTGTAACCTCAAACAACTGAGCTCATTACCGCATGTTCGGATATGCAAACTTTTTCATATAGGAGTTGTCGCAGAGATACAGAGCATCGGCGTCCGAAAATAAACTTCATGTCGTGCTTCGTTGACACTGAAATCCGAATTGTTCGAGGTCTCGCTTATTGGGATAAACCTATGGTAAAGCTATTCACTCTCTCTCCCTCTCTTTAGATGGACGTGAAATCACGTGGAATGATGGTACTGGTTGTAACATACACAAACAAAACTAGACGGAACAACGCGATGGTTCGGTTGACAAGTTGTATTCATCAACTCACTAAGTATTTATTGATGCTGCGTGAATACCGACGATCCGTCCGAGGGGATTTTGAGCAACTACCTACGTGCGGCTCCTTTGAGGTGGGTTGCAGTATCCCTGTGGATGAAACTTCATGGTTGATCGATTCAATTGAAGACCAATGACATTATCTTGTTTAGGTTCACCCACATTATTCAAGAAAGCAATTCTAAGTTGTACTTAACTAAGTGGGAATCTGTCAACCAGCCAGCTTTAGTACACTTTGTAAGATCAGATTTCCTGTTCAAATAGAGCAAGAGGTTGTCGGAAACTCGGGGACTGTGTCTACCTGATGAGCCCGAAGCAGAAGGACGGAACGTTCGTGGGCGTCGGAGAGTTTTCAACAACTCTTTGAGTATACGTTACATCTAGACATAGAGTATTTGACTGAGATTTTCCCACATCTTATGAGTTTTATTGTCCTATATGCATATCCGATAGTGGTTTAAGAGATACTGAAAGGTAGTTCTCACCGGAACTGTGCTCCAGAATACTGAGTACACAACACCAATCACTCTTTTGTTGATAACAGTCTACTGGGTCTACACAAACTCAATCGAGAAAACGGAGCATTCTCTGAAAACACTGATTCTTGTGGTGTAATGTTCTGCCAGCTGCCACTTTGGACCATTAGGATAGCATGAGGTACATCAGCGCTCACATACACGGACCACGGTTGCCATAGAGACGACTGGAGACATGCGATACTGCATGTAAATAAGTTTGATTGACCTGGCTGAAAAAAAGAACATTGACAAATCTTCATTTTTATGTAATCAGCAAAGCGGACAGACAAAAGAATGCAGAATTTGGACAAGGAAGATGTCAAAATTGGCAAATGACACCAGGATAACGCTGGTGATCACACCTGGGATTTAATGAAGTCAGGAAAAGTCAAGAGCGGTACCGAAAGTTCTCGCATGTAAAAGAGAGTTTTGGTACATCTGTAGCATCTGATCCGAGAAAAATCACATTACAGTCATGGAAAGAACTCAGTGGAAACATCACAAACTAGAGATTCAGCTGGGTTTCAGGCGAGCCTCTTGAAAAAACCAAATTAGCTTGCAGATGAGTGTATATTTACTAATTTCGTG